CTAAACACTGAGTCAAACTAGAATCCAAATGCAGATGGAGAGGACAAGACCAGGAGGCAGAAACACATAGAGACAGCTGACCTGAACAAGGAGGAGCTAACGGGCCCCCAGACTGATAGCTGGGAAGCCAGCATGGGACTGACTCAGGCCCCCCTGAATATGGGTCTCAGCCAGAAGGACTGAGCAGTCTAAGGGACCCCAGACAGTGGAACCAGGATGTATCCCTGGTGCACAAAAGGACCTTGTGGACACATCCCCCATGGAGGGATAACAGCCTTAATCTAGAGACAGGAGAGAAGTCCTGGTCCCTACTTCAAATGACCTGACAGACCTACATGACCCCACCTGGATGGCATTGCCCTACATGTGGTATTGGGGTGGGGGGATGGGAGGGGAGGGTGGTCAGAGTGCATGTGAGGGGTGAGAAAGGGTAAAAAGGAGGAAGGGAGGGAGGGAGGAGGAGGGAACTGGGATTGACATGTAAAATAATAAAATAATAAATTAAATTAAAAAAAAGATGATACTAGAGGCACATGTGGACTGCGTGGATCCAAAATGAGTCTGTATTCTGATTACATTAGCATCCAGAGAATATCTTTCAGGGATTTTGATGCAGAGATAAGATATCATATTAGAATGGATTTTTCTACCATATAAATAGAATAAAAAACTAAAAACATATATAGAAAAGATCTCTGACTTGATTTTAAGAGGTAAATTAAGACTTCATCAACTGACAGGAAGGGAGCCAGAAGACGTTATAGTACCTTTAACTAATGAGGACATTTCCTACATATGGAAAAATAATGAATATTGGCAGAGAGCTTACAGTAACTTTTTGGGAATCATTAGCAACAATTATCCCATAAGTGAAAAAATCAAATCATAAAGAAAACAATTTGGATCTTTCCATGCATTGTAAGAAATACACCTATCTCTGGAGGTCCTACATTCTACATTGATCCACATTCATGCAACAAAGACATCTGTTCAACTATGTTCATAGCAGCACTATTTGTAATGGCAAGGACCTGGAAGCAACCTAGATGTCCCTCAATTGAAGAATGGTTAATGAAGATGTGGCACATCTACACAATGGAATACTACTCTGCAGAAAAAAATAATGGAATCTTGAAATTCGCAGGCAACTGGATGGCACTTGAAGAAACCATCCTGAATGATGTAATCCAGTCACAAAAAGAGGAACATGGAATGTACTCACACGTACATGGATTTTAGACCTAGAGCAAAGGATCACCACCCTACAACCCACACTGCCAGAGGAACTAGGATACAAGTAGGAACCTAAGAGAGTCATATAAAGTCCCTCGCAGTAGGGGAAAGGAGCAAGACCTCCTGAGCATATGGGGAGTCAGGGAGGGGGACAGTGAGTGGAGAGAGAGCTAGGAGAAAGAGAAGGGAAGGGGAGGAGAGGAAAGCACGTGGGACTAAGAAAATTGAGTCAGGGTAGGAATAGATGAGAGAAGAGAGAGAGAGAGACAGAGAGAGAGAGAGAGAAGATGATAAAAAGAGGGAGCCATTATAGGTTTGAAGAGAAAACTGATTCTAGAGAAATGTCCAGAGACATACAAGACTGCCGCCAACTAACAGTTTGAGCAATAGTTCAAATGCTACCATAAATGCCATTCCCTGATAATGAGAATGATAACTAACTTATATGCTATCATAGAACCCTCATCTAGTAGCTGATGGAAACAGAAGCAGACACCCACAGCTAAACACTGAGCAGAACTCCTAGAATCCAGTTGCAGAGAGAAAGGAGTGATAAGAGAAGGGGTCAAAACCAGGCTACAGAAACACACAGAGACAGCTGACCTGAACAAGCTGGAGCTCATGGACTCCCAGACTGATAGCTGGGAAACCAGCATTGGACTGACTCAGACGCCCTGAACGTGGGTCTCAGTTAGAAAGCCTGGGCAGTCTAAGGGACCTCTGACAGAGGAACCAGGATGTATCCCTGCTGCACAAAAGGACTTTGGAAGCACATTCCCCATGGATGGATATTCCCTTAGCCTAGAGGCAGGAGAGAGGGCCTAGACCCTACTCCAAATGACTTAACAGATTTTGTTGATCCCTCCTGGAAGGCCTCATCCTCCCTGTGGAGTGAGTGGGGAATGGGACAGGAGGGGGTGTCGGGTTATATGGGAGGAATGGATGGAGGGAGGGAAGGAGAGGGAACTGGGATCAATATGAATGTGTGTGTGTGTGTGTGTGTGTGTGTGTGTGTGTGTGTGTGTGTGTGTGAGAATAGGACTTGGGTTTGTTATTGGGAATTTAGGAGGATGGAGAGGACAGACATCTGTCTAAACCTCATCTCAGAAATGGTGACTGTGGCCAAGCAGCTGCTGCTGTAGAACAATAACCTTGACCCATGTGTGCCACTCTCAGGGACTGTGATGAACCCTAATCCCTTCTGTTTTCAAGGTGTCCACATACTCACTCACATGACAGACTAAGCAGCTACACTTCAGACCACAAAGAAGGCCCCCAGAGGTTTTCTCTGAAGACATTACAGTCTCAGATACCTCTTTCTTTGTTGCAGGACATCGCACCCATTGAAGGGGACACACACACACACACACACACACACACACACACACACACACACACACACACAAACCTTCACTCCTACTTCTCCAAAATTAGTATTCATACACAACCCCTGCCCATAACAAACCCCATACCTACATATCCTATGCCCACCCATATTCTCACTCAAACCCATAACCATAGCCAGACCAACACCTGACCCAGAACAACCACAACAAAAAGCTGGAGCATGTAGGTCAATGGGCCTGGGACTCTCATGAGCAGTCACATTCTCTCTCTCTCTCTCTCTCTCTCTCTCTCTCTCTCTCTCTCTCTCTCTCTAATGCCCATTTCATCTCTTGGACAGGACACTTGAGAGTTCCCATTTCTGCTGGAGGATGGTGGTGCACACCTTCAATCTCAGCACTCAGGAGGCAGAGGCAGGCAGATCCCTGTGAGTTTTAGGCCAGCCTGGTCTACAGAGCAAGTTCCAGGTCAGCCAGGACTATACAGAGAAACCCTGTCTCCAAAAACCAAACCAAAGGCGGGAAAAAAATCACATTTCTTGCATCACATTAACTTCATTATTTTTCTCTTTAAAACTCTGGTTGGCAGTGCATGATGGCACACACCTGTCATCCCGGCACAGGGGACATTGAGCCAGGAAGAGCATTCAGTTCCTATCTAGAGAAATTTAACTCATAGAGAACCTAAGCCCCATAAAAGGGGCCCTCAGGGATGGAGCTCCTGCCTAGAATCCCCCAGTGAGGGGCTGTGGGTATGGCTCAGGGGTGGAGCTCCTGCCTAGGATCCCCCAGTGAGGGGCTGTGGGTATGGCTCAGGGGTGGAGCTCCTGCCTAGGATCCCCCAGTGAGGGGCTGTGGGTATGGCTCAGGGGTGGAGCTCCTGCCTAGGATCCCCCAGTGAGGGGCTGGGGACGTGGTTCAGTGGCTGGGTGTCCTTATGGCTTACCACAGAGAGTGAACTTGGTATGTGGGTTCAGGTAGCTCTGGGGACAGTGTTCATTTCCCTCTCATTTGCCCTTCTGTCCCAAAGGGACTCTGATCCTTCCTGCCCCAGCTTCCCTTCCAGGGCCTCCTTTCCTCAGGCTCCCCTTTCCTGCCTCGTGGTAGTAACTGCACTTAGGGTTAGTCCACAGTGGGTCACCCTGAGCTCCAGTTTGCTCTGTCCAAGGATAAAGACTCTCCATAAAACTTGTCAGGGGCTCTCCACCTGAGGTCACCCTGATGGTGGCCTCATCTGCTTGTCTTTCTGGCTGAGGGGAGCAAGAGCTACAGCTTGAGGATATCCAGGGCCTAATAACCAGCAGGGGCCTGATGCAGGACAGCTCCCCAGCTCTGGTTTTAGAAGGGTGTGTGTGTGTGTGTGTGTGTGTGTGTGTGTGTGTGAGTGTGTGTGTGTTCATGACAGTGCATTCCCGAGGCCTGGCTTTAGAGGGCAGGGTGCCGAGCGGTGGTAGCACACACTTTGATCGCAGCACTCAGGAGGCAGAGGCAGGTGGATCACAGTATATTCAAGGCTAGCCTGGTTTACAATGTGAGTTCCAGGACAGCTAGCGCTATTACACAGAACCCTGTTTCAGAAAAAAAAAAAAAAAGTAGAAGGCAGTATGTGTGTGTTAGGAGGAGATGCACACGTGTGTTTATGACTGAGTGTATCCCTCGCAGGCCGAGGGTTAACTTTGTGATAGATAATGCTTCTGGGAAGAAAAATGAGGTCCTTGTGGTGGGAGGGAAACAAGAGGGGAGGTAGAAAGTACTCCAGAACATTCCATTGTCTCATCAGCCAGTGGTGGCGCATGCCTTTTATCTCAGCACTCAGGAGGCAGAGACAGTTGGATCTCTGTGAATTCGAGGCCAGCCTAGTCTGCAGAACTAGTTCCAGGACAGCTAGGTCTACTCAGAGAAACCCTGTCTCACCAGGTCTGGTCATCTTAGGAAAGCAAGCATGAACGAGAAGGGAAGAGAGGCAAGAGAAAGGCAGAGACAAAGCTACTCGCACACCCTCTCAGCTCTCAGAATGATGAGGCAGGATCACGAATTGAAGGCCAGTTTGGATTGTCATTTTTATTGAGTTACAAGTTGCCATTTGCGGGGATTTGTGGCTCCAGCCCTTCCCTCCTTGGGTGCCCAGCTCCAAGTCAAGCTATGGGTGCGGTGCTGGGGGTCTCCCAGGACAGGACGGGAGCTCCTCCCCAGGGCTCCCCTTGGGGCTTCCCAGTGCGGAGTGGACCACAGCGGAGGGAAAGACTGAATGGGGAGGCAACCCATCCGCTGCAGCATCAGGGACTTGGGGAGGCAGGTAGAGGGCTCTGTACAAGGTCACACCCTGCAATCGCTCATGGAGAGGACACAGTGGCTGCACTGGACACTGAGTCTCCAACACTGGCTATGTCCAGCCCGCCCTGGAGCGTGGTATATCCAGGCCCCACCCATTGGTGTGAGGCCCCATCCATCCAGCCTATGCCCAGTCTAAGGGAGCCTCAGCTACTCAAGATCCAGCAGGCATGCAGCAGCAGGTCACTTCTCCCCTGGAGCCGGCTCTGGCTGCAGCAGCTGTGGCTCAGGCTCTGGCTCCCAGAGCAGGAACTCGTGCAGCAGCGTGTTGACTGTCTCCGGACACTCCAGCATCACCATGTGGCTACCTTCCTCGATGAGCTTGAGAAAGGCCAGCAGCAGGATCTGCAGGCATATAAAGAAGTCCCTCCTGCTGTCTACACTTCAGCCTCATCCTGCTGCTGCACCATCAGGTCACTCAGTCAACACCCATTAAGCGCTCGCCGCCTGCAGTACACCCAGAGCAGGACTTCTCAACCTTGGCTATGCTGACACTTGGGGTTGGGTCTTAGCTGTGGGGGCACCATCTGTAGGTGCTGCAAGCCTCCTTAGACTCCCCCACCCGGAGATGCGAAGGAGTCTGCCCTCCTTCCCTGTCCACAAATGATTTTCTTTTAACTTATCGATCCCAGTTCCCTCTCCCTCCCTCCCTTCCTTTTCCCCTCTCTCCCCCCTCAAGTGTACCCTGACCAACCTCCCCTCCCATTCCCCCCCACACTCCACATGTAGGGTGATGCCATCCAGGAGGGGTCATCTAAATCTGTCAAGTCATGTGAAGTAGGGACTAGGGCTTCTCTCCTGTCTCTAGGTTAAGGCAGTATCCCTCCATGGGGGATGTGCCCCCAAAGTCCTTTTGTGCACCAGGGATACATCCTGGCTCCACTGTCTGAGGTCCCTTAGACTGCTCAGTCCTTCTGGCTGAGACCCATATTCAGGGGGGCCTGAGTCAGTCCCATGCTGGATTCCCAGCTAACAGTCTGGGGGTACTTTAGCTCCTCCTTGTTCAGGTCAGCTGTCTCTATGTGTTTCTGCCTCCTGGTCTTGTCCTCTCCCTCTGCATCTGGATTCTAGTTCGACTCAGTGTTTATGTATGGGTGTTTGCTTCTGTTTCCAACAGGTATTAGATGAGGGCTCCATGGATAAGTTAGTTATTGATCTCACTATCCGGGAAGGGCATTTATGGTAGCTTTTCCACAGAAGCTCAAATTGTTAGTTGGAGTCAGTCTTGTAGGTCTCTAGACATTTCTTTAGGTTCAGTTTTCTCTTCAAACCAATAATGGCTCCCTCTTTTATGTTTGTTCTCTCTCTCTCTCTCCCTCTCTCCCCCTCTCTTGTCTTCTATTCCTCTCCTGACTCAATCTTCCTAATCGCACATGCTTTCCTCTCCTCCCCTTCTCTTTCTCCTAGTTCCCTCTCCCCTCACTGCCCCCCCACTTCCCATGTGCTCTGGAGAACTTGTCCCTTCCCCCTTCTGTGAGGGACCTTATATGAATCTCTTAGACGTGATTCATGATGTCTCCGAGAGTCCCCTGTAGGACAGATCTGCCCTTTGTGAGGGTCTCCTCTCAGTCCCTCCCTCATACTCAGAGTCTTACAAATCCCAGATCCTATACGCCAATGTCTATCTCCACCTCCTCCCGGGGTTAGGGACCCACTCCCTGGCTGAGGAGGACAAGGTGTGCATGTCAGCCGGGAGCAACCCTGCCATTTACATTCTCCTTCAGGCTCCACCCAGCAGCGGGGTCTCCTGTGGAGAACACTCCTACCAATGGCTACATGTACACAGGGGCCATACCCACTCCAAAACCATGCCCACCCAGGACCATACTCATCCATCGTGCACACCCACCTAAAACACAGCTGTCTAGAGGCCATGCCCATTACAAACCACACCCTTCCAAAGGCCACAGCCATCCAGATGTCTTAACCAATGAAAGCCACACCCACCTATAAGCCATACCCATGACAAGGCCTGCACCCAGAGACCTCTTCTACCCAGAGACCTCTTCCACCCACAGCTGTCAGGAAGCCACACCCATTTGGGAAATCCACACCCACTGAGCCACACCATTTTAGAAAGCCAGGCTTCCCACAGGTCAAGTTTACTCAGAGTCCATTCTAGCAGGATACAAGTCTAGGAACCACACCCACCTGTATCCTGTAAAGGGAAGGGGGGACGGGGACTGCAGTCCCGGGATACGGGTCCTACCTCAGCCATGCGTTGGTCCTCCTCCACTGGCACGAATTTGTCATGCATGCCATGCACCAGCAGCACGGGCACTGTCAGCTCCGCATGGTACACTTCGTCACCCTCAGGCCAGTACTGGCCGCTCATCATGGCCCGCAGCACGAAGGAGGACACATTGAATGCGTTGCCCTCCTTCAGCAGCTGCTTCTCTTTAGCCCCTTGACGGGCAAAGCCGGCCCTGAGGGTGCAAAGATGTCTTTGGAAACCGACCACTATAGGACCAAGGGCAGAGCCAGCCCTAAAGATCCCCAGAGTCGGTCCCTATGAATCAGGAAACCCTCCCCGCTCCCGGACCCGGACCCCAGGCACAGGGCACTCACTTGAGGAAACTCCAGGCCAGACAGGGCGATAAGCAGTGCAGGACACACGTGGGCATGTTGAAAATGGAGCAGAGGCTGGGCTCCAGCGCAGTGGGGCCCCCGCCATTGATCATGATCACTTTGTGAACAAGATCTGGGTACTCATGGGCCAGGAATGTACAGAAGGAGACCCTGAGAGCAGGGAAGGGAGAAGCCAAGTCAGCAGACACTAAGTGAGGGCTTTATTTCCTCTCCTTGACCTTGATCACCAGGGAACCCACTGGGAGCACAGATGGGGTGCCCCTCGATGCCCAGGTATGCAGTGCTGGTGATGGGAGCCAGTACTTTATGCATGTTGGGCATGTGCTCTATCAGCTGAGCTATGGGCTTAGCCCTTTGGTTTTTGAGGCAAGCCCTCAGGAAGCCCCACACATCCTCTACAGGGCCAGGGCTCATCTCCACCCTCCTGGCTCTGGGACTGCACCATGTACCCCTGTGAGTTTTGGGAGTATTTTTGGCTGGAGGGATAGCTCAGCCATTAAAGGCTAGGTCCACAACCAAAAATATAAGTTTTGAGGTATTTCTTGTTTGAGACAGAATCTCACTATATATCTTTGGCTGGCTGTGTGGACCAGGCTGGCCTAGAACTCCCAGAAATGTGCCTGCCTCCCAGGCATGCTACTGTATAACTTGGAATAGCTGTCTGTGATCACTAACAGTGACCTTGGCTGTCTCATCATTCTGAAGTTTCCCCAAGTAGGAATGTGGCCCCTGGGGCAGCTGCTTGCATGTGGCACCATTCTGTCAGAAAGACTGACTTATGGCAGGCCATGCCTTTCCAAACAGTATTTAGGGGAGTGTGATTAGTGTGATTAGCCCTTCTGGCTGTAGCTACATTCTGGAAACCCCTCAGTAACCTCCAGCATGTTTGCTCCTGTGCAAATCCAGGGGCACTGACACCCCACAGCTCCTCTAAGAATGGCATTGCTGAGCACTAAATAACTCTGCACCATGCACAGATCCCCCCCCCTTCCCCGAGACAGCCTCACTGTATGTCCCAGGCTATCATGAAACTCATAGCAATTCTCCTGCCCCAGTCCTTGGAGTACTGGGATTACAGGCCTGCTCCACCCCATGTGGCATTTGTGTTCTTGTTAAGATACCAAGTCTCTGTGCTGTATTGCCCAAGCTGACCTTGAACTCCCAGGGTCAAGGGCTCCCCCTGTTCACCCTCCATCACAGTGCCCAGCTGGCTAAGATCTTTAAGGCTCCAGACAGAAGGGACAGAACAGGAATGGACCTAACCATTAGGCCATACACACACACACACACACACACACACACACACACAATTCTTTCCCAGTTACCCATACATGTGGGCAATTATTCCATGTTGGTAAAAAAAAAAAAAAAAAAAAAAAAGCACTTTTGAGACCATAACAATGCCCCTGCCTCAGACTTCAAAATACTGAGATTATAGACATGACCCACTATGTCCGGGGCTTTTAAAAAATTAATTTCTAGACTGGGCATGGCACACCTTTAATCCCATCATTCAGGAGGCAGAAGCAGATGGATCTCTATGAGTTTGAGGCCAGCCTGGTCTACATGGTGAGTTCCAGGGCAACCAGGGCTATGAAGACAGACCTGTCTCAATTTTTTTTTTAAATGTTTAAAGATATAAAAATGTCTTATTTATTGACTTTCTTTTTTCTTGGAGGTGCTGGCAATGGAACCTATGGCATTGTGCACACCAAGTAAGTATCTACCTGAGCCGCCCCAGTTTGCTTTGGGGGTGCATTCTCATGAGTGTGACAGGCAGGGTTTTGTGTATAGTAAGCTTGCCTGGAGCTGGGAGCTGGGGGCTGGGAGTGACAATTGTTTCCACCTCCCAGGCACTGGGATGGAAGATGAGGGTTGCCATGCTTGGCTTTTAATGCTATTTATTTTTGAAACATAAAGTCTTACCCTGTATCCCTAGCTGGTCTTGAATTTATAGCAATCTTCCTGCCTTGGTCTTGGAAGTTCTGGAGTGATGGGGTGAATATAATGCCCAACCTCCCTCTCTCTCTCTCTCTCTCTCTCTCTCTCTCTCTCTCTCCCCATTTTTTGAGACAGGGTTTCTCTGGCTGGCCTGGCTGATCTTGCTTTGTTAAACTAGGCTGGACTCAAATTCACAGAGACCCACCTACCTCTGCCTGCTGAGTGCTGGGATTCATGCACCATCAAACCAACCTTTAACACAAGTTTGGCTATGCAGGTGTAGCCTTGGGGTGGAAATAACTCTGTAGCCCAGGTTGGCCTCAAATTTTTAGCTATCTTCCAGCATCGGCCCCCTGAGTATTGGAGATGACATGCATCTGCCACCACACCTGACCCACTGGCAGATACTAATGACAAACACTATTTGCTTAGTCAGAGCTCTAGTATCACTCGATCCCCATCCCCTCACTGGGGGGTTCTAGGCAAGGGCTACACCTCTGAGCCATGCCCCCCAGACTCTCACTGGGGAACTCTGGTGGGGGAGCTCTACTACTGATCCATGCCTTCACCTCACTGAGGGATTCTAGGTGCCGGCTCTATCACTGAGTCACAGCCCCAAACCCAATCACATTTTACAAGAAGGGACATAGGGTTGGATGGCATAGAAGCCTCTCATTCTAATCCTTGGGATGTCAAAGGAGGAGGATCAGGTGTTCAAGGGCAGCCTCAACTACATAACGATTTCAAGGATACCCTAGACTACATGTGGCCCTTTCTCAACCTACCCCCAGGGGGATGGGAGCGTCTTGTGAGCAGCCCACCCTGGACCTTACCCATAAGAGTGTCCGATCAGCACGTTGCGTTTCTTGGCATAGCGCGTGAAGATGGCCCGCATGTCCTCTGCAAGTGCGTAAAAGGTGTAGGCAGCTGCCACCTGCGGCGCAGAGCTGGCTCCATGGCCTGCCAGGTCAGGTGCCACCACCTCATAGCCAAGGCGCACAAAGAAGTCCAGCTGCTCCTTCCAGATGGCAAGTGAGCCACCCACACCGTGGATAAAGAACAGCACCACATCGGCCTGCGCGCCCTTGCAGCTGGTGATGCGCTGCTCACAGTCGATGTGGATGGTCCTCTTGGGACGCCGCAGGCGCCGGCGCCGCCCGCTGCCTGGGGTGGCCCGGGCGTCACCCGCTGCGGGCTCTGCCAGCTCCACCTCGAGAGCATTGGGCGGGTCCCCGGAGCCACTGCAGCCTTGAAGGTCGGCACGAGGCGCGCGGCCCAGGTTCTCCACCACCAGCCTCCCGTTGCGGTACACCGTAATGCGGCGCTGGCAGCGCACGAGGCCGGTCTTGACCCCAGGATCATCTTCTGGAAGCGGCGGAGGTTGTGGGGGCGTGGGAATCGGCGCGGGACCCGCGTGCTTCACCCGCAGCACCCGACCAGGCTTGACTTCCACAAACGTGTAGCCATCGCTGGACTCGACGCTTTCCAGCGGTCGCACGGCATTGGGAGGCGTCCCCAGCAAGCAGCAGAAGAAACCATCTGTCACCCCAGTCAACATGGTGTGTCCTGAAGACGGAAAGGACCAGCGGCCACCTCAGGGTCAGTGGCTCTGCTCATGCATCGGGTAAGCAGGACCCAGTGGGCCCTCTCCAAGGTCCATGGATACTGAAGACAGCATGGGGGACTTCCAGAAGTAGAGGACATTAAGGAAGTGTCCATTCCTGAGGACACCCATGCTGGAGTTTATCCCAGGGTTATTCATTCATTTATTCACAAAGCCATGCCTTTTGTATGCAATCATGCATGCATGCAAGCAAGCATGCTTGCATTCATCTATTGACACATTGATTTATGCAACCATGCATTCAAGCTGATTTGCCTGCTAGTTTTTGAGAAAGGAGCTCATGTAGCCCAGGTGTGCTTTTAGTTCCTGTCGCAAATGTCTCTAAAGGTGCAGCCCTCCCTCCTCTGTGTCCCCAAGGGTTGCGGTGACATGCACGCACCAACAGGGTCTCATTTTATAGTTCTGGGCCAGACACTGGCCTCAAACTCTTTTTACAAAGGGCTTCATTTTGTAGCCCAGGCTTGCCTCAACCTTGTGCCCCAGGCTCCTGGGCGCTGAGATGACAGACCACCACGCCGGGCTTCTGTCCTAAAGAGTTCCCAGCTCAGGCCTCTGGCTGTGAATCTGATCAGCCAAAGATAGGGCCTAGGAAGGATGTTGGCCACAGGAACTCAGAAGGTTTTATCCAGTCCCAGGTCCAGGAGAGAGGGTGCTTGAGCTAACAGAGCAATGAGCATGGTTGGAGGCAGATGCCCTCAGCAGCACCCTGACACCCTGTGTTGACAGGCAGCCACACAATCCCTAGTGGCAGCCAGGAGGATGAAGGCAGGACCTGACTGGGGGCCTCTGGGCCTCCATCCGGTTCCCTTGGCCACCCCCCCTCCCGTGTCCATGACAACCACAGGCTGTTACATAACTCCGGGGGATACTCCAGCGCACCCCCATTGTCTGAGACATGGGGATGAGGCCAGCTTCATTCTCCCTTCGTGGCCTGGGCACTGCTGTGGTGATGCTCATTAAGGACCGGGCTGGTGGTGACCCTGGATGCATTTGAGGGAAAGCAGGTCATGCACCCCACCTCTAGGGCCCTGGAACCCCGACAGCCTAGGCCTCTCTAAAGCTCAGTCCTGCTTCTCAGAGTCTGACCCGCTTCTTCCGGGGGCTCGTCATCCCCGCGGCGGGGTTAAGTCATTGGGGTTCCTCAGCATCCTAGCAGCTCGAATGCGGAGATTGGCGGCTACCACCCCCCCCCAACACACACACACCAAGTGGAGGCCTAGTAGCGTAGTGGCTCCACTCTAAGGAAATAGATTCAACTCACCTGAGATCATCGAGGGGCCCTGTGCCCGAGACAGGGCACAGGGGTCCCGGGCGGAGAAGCCAGCGTCCACCTGCAGGTGCCGCTTACATGATGGTGCGGGATCGGCCGCATTAGCGCGGGCAGGCGCGAGCCCCGGGCGGTCAGCGAAGGGGCATCCCGCAACCACGCAGCAAACCGGCCCTGTAAGTCCCACCCAGTGTGGGATGGGCCTTGAGCCGATGGGCGGGCATCTCGGCCTATTGTCACCACGAGCAAACCTGGCCTAGATAACCGTCCAACCAGAGGCTGCGCTTCCAGGGTTAGCGCGCGCTCTGCGAGCAGCAGCCCCGCCCCTGTAAGGGGCTTGGGAACATGGGGGGGAGGGATGGGCCGGTGCCAGGGCTGAAGAGGGCTTGCAGCCCGGGGGAAGCCAGTGGTGTGTGGGGCGAGGGAATGTGCTCTGACTGGAACGGGATCTCCCCAGCAAACTTTCTTCTGGGGGGGGAGTGGAGGGAGGGGGATGTGCGCCCAGTCTCAGCTGACCTTTCCGTTTTCCGTTCTGCAAACAGGCTCCCAAATCTATGTACTTTCAGATGGGGAAACAGATTCAAAAAAAGTCAAGGCTGGCATTTGAACAAGAGGCTGTATCAGACCCGTGTCCTGGGAATGAAACAGAAGTGTCGGAGTTGGGAAGCTAGCGAATGGGAATTGTATCCCAGTGGTGATGTCTGGGCCAGACCAAGACTGAGTCCCAGGAGAGCAGAAAGCCAGGAGCCCAGGCTAACCCTCCTCCCTCCCTGGCCTTGGGACCAAGATGCAGCCCAGACTCTCGTCATCATCCCTTCTACACACAGTAAGTACTCGAAACATGTCCCCCCTCCCCATTATTTTTAGACACAAGTGGCCGTTTTAGAGGGTGGATAGGGATCAGAGCACAGTGACAAGTTCAGAGATGCTTGTGTACAAGGCTTCGCATGACTGCTGGCAGGCTGGGCATCTTAGAGCAATGGGGAACCATGGTGTATAAGCAGGAAGGGTTCAGATCTAAGCTGCGGGAAGATAATTCCTCTAGGCCAGCCTGAGGGATTAAACTAGCCAGGGCAAATTTACAACGCGTGAGTTTTCCAGATTGCGAAGAGCTAGGACTCAAGGACATCCGGGCTGCGCGCCAAGAGGAGAGCCTTGGCTGCGGTCGCGGAGAAGCTGCCAGCCGGCTGCGTGCCAGCTGCCTGTTCCCAACGAGGGCGACTGAAAAGGCCAGCTGCGTCACAGCCACCCTGTGGCGCCCTCTACCAGGGGCCGAGGTGAAGAACTACAACTCCCAGAAGACCAAGACAGGATGTCGTACTGATTGAGGAGTCGACACTCGCTCGCCACCTGTTGGTCATTTTTGAGAATTACATTCCACTGAGGAGCATGCGCAGGCATCGAACTACAGCTCCCGTAGTGCCGCGCAGCAACACATGAAACTACATTTCCCAGAAGGCATTGTCGCATAACCCACGGTCTAGGAACTGATGGCGGCCAGGACAGACTGACTGCAGACATGGCTTTCGTAACCCGAAGTTTTGGGTTCCTCGCCTGCAGATCAGTGGCCCAGCTGGGTGGCAGGTGAGTGCTCAGGGGATACTTTGCTCCAGATCTGGGAACAAGGGAAGGGTAAGGTTTCTCGACTACCACGCACACTTTTTTTCTTTTTCTTTTTGGTTTTTCGAGACAAGGTTACTCTGTATTGCTTTGGAGGCTGTGCTGGAACTACCTCTTGTAGACCAGGCTGATCTCGAACTCACAAAGATCCACCTGCCTCTGCCTCCCTGGTGCTGGGATTAAAGGTATGCGCCACCACCGCCCGGCCCACGCTCACTTAAGTTGCGCCTTTTGCATGCTAGCTGTTTTGTTGCCCTGCACATTACGAAATTGAGACTAAGAGAGGTTGAGCAACGCGCCGGGGTCACACAGCGTCCATCTCATCTTTTTTCTGGTCCCACAGGTGGCTCCAACCCAGGATCTGGATGGGACTCCAGGATGCCTGGGGCCTCCCCTCCCTTCAGCAAGCCCGTGGCCGCACGCGCGGGAACGAGTACCAGCCTAGCAATATCAAGCGCAAGCACAAGCATGGCTGGATCCGTCGGCTGAGCACCCCGACAGGCGTGCAGGTCATCCTCCGCCGCATGCTGAAGGGCCGCAAGTCCCTGAGTCACTGAGGAGCCTTGTCGCGCACCCGAGTTGGGGCCTCCTTAGCTTTGGAGTATGAAGAATTCAGAACTTGCAAAACCCCGAGGTCCCTGCATCTCCCAATCCGTTGCTCCCCCTCCTACGGTAACTCAGCAGTTTCTGTGCATGTTTTTGAAAGCATCTTTGCAAGCCAGGCTCCTTAAAACACCGCAGCACTCACGGTTCAGCCATTCCGAAGTTTTACCGGTTCCTTAATAAACATTCACGTTTCTAGGCGCTGCGTGTGTCCTGTCTGTTAGGGAGGTCAGAGATCCGGAGCCTCTGTTGTGAGGTGAGCAATGGCTTAGCCTTGAGGCTCCGTGCCCCACACAAAATGCTGACTTCTGTTTGGCCTGATGTCCCATCCTGTAATTAACAACAGACTGTCCTTTTACAGTGTGCATTCCTGGAATGAACTCCGGCATTCTGCAAATGTCACCAGCCCCCTGACTTGTCATGAAGGGATTCTTATCTGGTGGGTGATGTGAATTTAGAGCAGGGCAGTTGGGACACATGGGGATCAGATTTGAAAGCTGAATCTAGGGACCACAGGACCCTGAAAGAGGACGTGCCCATGGCTTGGCTCTGACAACAAAGCAGTCAAGGAAGACTTCTGGAGGAAAGGTCTGAGTCTTCAGGAGGGATTGGTTGGGATTGAGTACCCACATAGGTGGGAGAAGGGAGAGGGACCTGGAATGTGGACCCCTGAGGTAAAACTAACCTTGGGCCACTGGGGAACTACAGCAGGTGTTGGAGCCAGACTTAGCTGCATACCTGTCCCAGCATGTAATGGAGGCAGGAGGCTAAGGAGTTCAAGGCCATCCTCAGCCATGCAGCAAGTTCAGGACCACCCACTCTCACACTTTCTAATTTTAGATTTCTATCAAAAGCAGCTGTTGTAGGAAAAGATTTATTCCATCTCAGGTCACAGTCAAGTCCATGGCAGGATCCTGGAGGCAGGAGCTGATGCAGAGGTCATGGAGGGGTGCTGCTTACTGGCTTGCTCCTCGTGGCTTGCTCAACCTACTTTCTTACAGCACTCAGGACCTCCTGCCCCAGGGTGGCACCTCACACAGTGGACTGAGCCATCCCCATCAATCACTAATTAGCAAAAAGTCTATCTGGGCAGTAGTGGTGAATACTATTAATCCCAACACTCAGAAAGCAAAAGCCGACAGATTCCTGAGTTCAAGGCTAGCCTTGTCTACAGGGTGAGTTCCAGAATAGCCAGCACTAGATTGGGAAACCCTGTCTAAAAAAAAGAAAAGAAAATTGCCCATAGGCTTCCTTACAGCCTGATCTTACAGAAGGCTTTTCTCAATTGAGACTCTATCCTCTCTGAGGACTCAAGCTTGTGTTAAATTAACATAAACTATTCAGTACAGGCTCAATAAGTTCTGGCAGGGCAAGCTTTATGACCTGAGTTTAGACCTCATACCCACAAAAGGCCAAACACATGTGACCCCAGCCCTTGGGAATCAGAGGCAGGCAGGCCCTGGGTCCAGTTTCAGGGTCAGTGAAAGACCTGTCACAACATAAATGAAGCTGCAGCTCAGTCAGTAGATGGTTGCATGCACTGAGAGGCCCCAAGTTCCATGCCCAGTACCCCTTAAATCTTGGGGGAACACACAATTCCAGCCTCACCCTCAACTACATGGCAAGGCAAGGCCAGCCTGGGCTACATGAGGCCCCATTTCAAGATAAAGGAGGGCCAGTGAGATAGCTTAGCAGTTGCTGGTCAAGCCTTGAGACCTGAGTTGATTCTGGAGCCCATGGGAAGGTAGGTAAAGGAAGCCTGCTCCATGGAGTTGCCGTCTGCCCTCCACACAGTTATCATGCACACACAGTAATAAAATGTAAGACAGATCAATAAGTAATCTGGGAGCTATGAAGTCCCACAGTGCCAAGCCTTCCTCCTCCACAGGTGTGCATGTGTGCACATAAACAATACAACAGCACAAGCTTTTGCTTTTATTTTGGTTTTTTGTTTTGTTTTGTTTTTATATAGTGTGAGCTGTCAATTCAAAGCAGGTAGCTAGTTCAGAAACCAGTATGAAAATTCAAGTTCGAAAGCCAGGTGGTGGCAGCAAAGTAAGCCTTTAATCCCTGCACTCAGGAGGCCAGGGCCAGGACAGCCAGGGCTCTATAGGAAAACTGTCTCAAAAAAATACAGGAAATAGACACATGCTTTTAAACCCAGCACTCGGGAGGCAGAGGCAGTCAGAAAACTATACAAAGAAACCCTCTCTTGAAAAATCAAAACAGAAAAGAGAAAATACATGAAATTAGGCTATCCAGACAGCTCACCTAGTAAAAGCATATCACCAAGCCTGATGACCTAAGTTTATTCCCTGGAACCCTCAGGGTGGTACCAGGTCCCAAAAGTTGTCTTTACATCAAGACTGTGGTACACACACACACACACACACACACACACACAATTTTTATATAACAATGTTTTAGAAACTGGTATTTCTCCCTTGGAGCCCCTCCTATTCTCAATCCCCCCCCCCCCAATGGTTTTTCTAACACAGGGTTTCTCTGTGTAGTCCTTGCTGTCCTGGAACTCGCACGATAGACCACGCTGGGCTCGAACTAAGAAAATCGCCACCACCAGGCAAGCTGTTAGATTTCTAAGGGGGAAAGTTGCCATTTATCTAAAGTTCTGTCAGTAACAGGACATCCAAGAGAATACGAGATTAAAGGCATATGCACCACCACCACCTGGCTTTCAAACCGCCCGGTTTAGCAACAACAAACTCTTAACACCGACTATTCCAGGAATTTGGCAAGCTGAGTGAGGCAGGAGGACTGCTGCAATATTTAAAGTCAGCCTGTATTATGAGACCATGGCGTGACCTCAAAATAAAATAAATAAAAGAATCAGTAGTTTGGGACCCAGTGGAGGAGTCCGGGAGTTTCGTGGCTTCATTACAGCGAAGCCCTCCAGGGACATCTTAGAAAAAAGCCAAGCCAGCTCCAGAACGAGGGGAGACCTGCGGGACGACGAGCAAGCTGTGAACTACAACTCCCAGGAGACTGAGCGCGCAGTTTCCTCCCACTTCCGATCTCAAGTCCCTCGCCTCTCAATCCCGGGCGGGGTTTGCTCCTTCAACCGAACTCGACGACACTTTCTAAGGCGGAGATGTGAAGACCAATAGCAACGCGCGTGCGTATGGGCCAGCCAATGGGAGTGCGTCGGAAGCGGATGTCACGGAGGGAGGGGCCACTACGCGGACCAATGACGCGCGGCGCTGTCGCCATCGGCGTGAGCTGCGAGACGGCTGGAAGTGGCTGTGCGGCAGCGACCGAAGAGGAGGCTGCGGCGGCGGCGGCGGCCGGGGCGGCGGAGGACGCGGACGATGGTGAGCGCAGCCATGCGGCCTCCCTTTTTGCCCGGCATGGCGTCGCGGGGTTCTCCACTGTGTCCCCGAGGCTCCTCTCACGACATCTCCCCTCAGTCCCGGTCCTGCCCCTCGCGCTGACCTATGACCTCCGACACACCCCCCACCCCTTCGCGGGCTGCCCGTCGATCCCACTCCGACTCTTTCTGCGACCCCTGACCCTAGGTAGGCTTCCAGGCCCTGACAACTCATTCATTTCCGGGTCGCGACTGTCTCTTGTCTTCCCCCCCCCCGGAAATCGCTTGGAGTGGGGTGGGGTCCCTTGAGACCCCCGCTCCGGGTTGTTCCTCGACGCGGCTCCTCGGGTTCCGGGCGTTTGAGGGGCGGGTCTAGGCAGCACGGATGCGAGGGGCCTTGTCACAGTGTCTTGCAGAGCTTTGTCACCAAAGGAAGTGCGACATCGAGCCAGACCCGTTTCCCAGGTCCCCACCCCTCTGTCTCGAGCCCACACTTGTCCTTAAAGAGGGAATAGCTTCGTCTCCTTGTTTGTAAAATAAGGGTGCCTACCCCTTAGAATGGGACATCGTCAGAGGCTAGCGCAGGGGCCGCCCACAGATGAGCTCGGGGACATCCTCCTTTAGATACCCCCCCAATCTTCAAGAGAGGTGATCCCTGTGACCTAATAGGAGCTACTAACTGCCTCAGGGGTCGCGGTCCTTTGGGTTGGAGCTCCTTCTCTCTGACTGGGGGTGGTGGCCATACCTCAGGAATGGGCAGGGTTAAATTTGGACCCCAGACCCCAGCCCATACCCACAGAAGAGTTCCTGGAATGGGGATGGGGAAGCATGACTGTGGGGTTTCTGCTTTGCCTCTGCAACCTCATTCCCCACACCAAGAACCTTCCCATGCCATCTACCCTACTCCTGAACTTGCAACCTCCCAGAGGCCTGTTCCAGCCTCCTCCCTACACCTTCCTTTCCCAGCCCTTACGCCATCTTTAATTCACCAAGAATCAGGGGATTTCAAAGACATCATCATTTTGTACACTTTCTAGCTAATAGAGCTCTCTGTGGTGAGTCTGTTCCAGGCTTCAGGAGACAATGCCCTCTTTTGTGACCTCGTCCCCACCTGCTCAGTCCTTCCCTCAGCAAACCATGCTGGCCTTCACCTGACTTCCTCAGGCTCCCAAGTTCCTGCTGCCCCAGGACTTTTGTACCAGCTTCACTTCCACCATAGCATTTGGCCTCCTAGAGCACAGGTTCAGCTTCCCTTTCCCGGAAGGCCGCGAGGGAGATGCCCCTATGTCTTGCAGCATTGTTTGCCAGCCGACCTGAGGAGGTCCTGTCTTTTAGAAGTGCAGACAGGTACATGATCCTGCCCTGCCCTGAGGGACCTCTGTCCCCAGTTTTGCCCTGACTGTCTTGGCTGCCTCTCTGAGCTGTACTTGGAGGTGGCAGTACACTGCAGCCTAGCTAAGAAGTCTCACCCAAGTCACTTAGCCAGCCACAGGACTGGACTCAGCCAGGGCCCAGCTTGTGGCTTAGGGAGGCATGAGTTGTGCTGTAGACATGAGCTGAGGACAGCTCAAACAAGTGATTTGACATAGTGGCAAAGTTGTAGGGTGTGCCTCAGATGGAGAAAGTGGTGGCACACAGTATGGCAAGTCGGAGAGATCATACTGACCATTGCTGGTGGAGAGTAGTGGAGATTGCTTATTTGTTGTCTTGAGACAGGATGTCCCAAAACTGGCTTCCACCTCCCAACCCTTTTGACTCCCAATACCTCTTGGGGTGACAGCTGTGGAGACATAAGCAGGGCAGGCTCCCTTCTGCAAAGCTGCCCCAGGGACGCTCCCCTAAACCCAGACCAACCTGGCCTCTGCCTCCAAGCCAC